AGGTAATAATTGCAGGTGGGCCCATGCTGGGAGAAATCTGATTACTCTGTGTGGGTCATCAGATTCTTCCACTACCGACTCCTCCTCCTCCATAAATACTAAGGCTCAGGCCAACAGCTCTTCAAGAGGTAGTGTGTCCATTCTGAAGGATGGCTGCAGTTGCCTTTTCATGGAGTCAGAAAGTCCACATACAGATCACACACTATTGTACGGTCTGGCATTTTTCTGAAAAGGTCTGCCAAATAAACATCAACAGTTTCATCTTGGTGTAACTTATGTGTTTCAAACTGCTCAAATGCCTTTAAGCAGTTAGCAAAAGTAGTGCATAATGCATCCTTAATTCAGGCTGCATGGAATTTTTCCTGTGGTCAATTATGAATACACTGTAAACACTACCCTCTCGTGTCAAAGGGGAATGAGATGTTCAAATTTCTTTACCCCACATAGGTTACAGACTAGTTCCACTTTCTCTATCCACTCCATGATGGACTCAGAGCTGTCAAACTTGGGAATCAGCTTGAGGTTAATATTGTCATGCACCATCTTGCGAAAATAGCTTGTGTTCATGGTTTTGTGAAGAAAGAAAATGAAACAAAAAGTTAGAAATCAGAACAGGTGGAATATGATTTCTTTTAACAATTGTAATCTGTTTCATGGTGAACCTGGGTCCTTACTTCTCTGGCAAAACACTGAAATTCAATGAGTCTCTTTCTCTTGTCTTTATTCTTTCATAGTTGCATCAATCCCTCTCAAAAGTCCTTCTCTTGCTTGTTCTATGCTGTATCCTAGTCCACACAGGTACCTTTTCCAAATTGCAAACGGCAGACTAAGCATATGCAGCATGAATGTCTGCCACATGTACATTTCAATATAATATAAAACTTTCAAATAAAAGTTCAATTGGTAGTTGCATTCATGTTGAACTGTTATTTCATTTTATGTTGAAATTCAAGGTGTCCAGCATGAAATTGTTTTAACACTGGTATTTGTAAAGACTTTGGGACTACAATGCATTTTGAAATAGACAATAATCAAAAACTGAGGGACTCAGTCCTTAAATAAAACTGCTGACAACCTCTGAATTTTTTTTATTTTTGACAAATAAGAAAATCTTTGATTTATTTTGCTCTTTCCAAATGGCATTACACACAACCTTTTGAATTGCTGATTCAAATTTGATAGATGAAATAACTATCTGTAGGAGAGAATATATTTGATAAAATGGATAATGCAATATTTTCCATCATTTTTTTGATAAAATCTTTTATACATAGAAATTCATAACAATATTCAATCATAAATGTACCTTTCAGAAAAATTGTGTATTCTATTATAAAAGAATAATTCTGCTTTTGATTTAATTCAAGGAATTTTCTTTGATATTTTTAACCGCTGGTCAGGCAAGGTGTTTTGTATGGATTGAAATAAATGATAGTCTGAAGGTGACAGTTTTGGAGAACATGCTGCATGAGGAAGAATGTTTGGCAAATATGGACCTTTGTGCCCACAAAAAACAGTGTTTCAAAAGGAGGGTTTTTCCATTAACATCATTATTATATTCACACCCTTGGTAATGTTTACAAGATTAAAAAAAGAAATATTTATCTTTTATAAAGATTTATTATTTACCCTTTTATAAAGAAATAAATTTGAAATGAAATGAAATTTAAAATTATAAAAATTAGTAAACTATCTACAATGCAATAAGTTTTATGACAACTAATTACCAATTTTACCTACTTTTACTCAGCTATGTTTGTTGTTTTAAAAAGTGATGATTAGAATTTTAATAAAACCCAAACATATAAAATTGAATTTATACATTTTCTTCGTTTTTTTGAGAATTTACAACAAAAATATTAAACACTATTAGATTGTTTATTTATAAGAATTTTATATTTACAGCATTCTTAAAATGTGAACTAATTAATACAATGCAATGATTATCATTTATCAAGGGTCCATGTTTGCCAAATGTTTCATCTCAGTTTGATGATTACTTGCAACATGAGAAAAGGCATTGCCATACATCAAAATCATCAGTTGATTTTGTTGCCTAGAAAAACGACTTTTCTAATATGATATTCAAATGATCCAATTGCTCACTGCAGCATTGTGTAGTAACAATTTGTTTAGGTTTAAACAATTTGTAATAAAAAATTACTTTTGAATCTTGCCAAACACAGAACATTTTCCTCAAGTGATTCTGCTTAAGATATTGATGGTTGCTCTGTCCTATATAAAAGATGGTGCTACATTTTTTTTTTACATTAACTTAATATTAACTGTGATAGATCATCAGGCAGATTCATTTAGAGGAAGATAGGTATTCTAATTTGAAAAATGAACAATTAAATTTATTATCTAGCATTATAGTTTGTAAGCTGTATCAATAAAATATTCATTTTCTGAGCCCAAAATAACTACTTATGACCAGTTTGAAGAGTAAATCTTTAGCTATATAAGCTTTTATAAAACATTTCAATAGCGAAAACAATTACTAAACATATCTTTTCAATTTGCCTATAATTATAGTCAGCTAGAATTAATAAGTGGGAAGAATTTATTGTATTTTGAGATTCATTTTCAAATTTATATAGTACTAGCTGATGTATCTAGTGTTACCAGGGTGTACCATTGTATAACTGCACCCCTCTCTGTATACTCGCACTCCCCATCTGGAAATGTCTGCCTGCATCCCTGCATCATTCATCGGTATACTAAGCTACCCCCCAACCCTCAACTTTTTTATGGTATGTCCTTTGCAAGTGTTTGATCATTCTTAATACCTTCTTGTGTGGTTGTTTCTTGGGGTTAAATTGTTTCAATGTTTTAGATATTCAGTAAATTTCCTATGGCTGTAATAACTTCCAAATAGTATAGCATTATTCACAAATCTAATAATGAAACAAAAAACAGGGATGAAGCATCAGAACTTGATTCAACTGCAAGTGCAAACGCATGAATGTCCTCCGCCTGCTTGTTTACTGTAAATCTGGGTTTAATAAGACGTTCTTCAGGAATTTTTCCCTTTTACCACTTCAATAATCCTTCTCAAACAATTTTTGCATTAAAGGTTGTTCGAATGACAATCATATGAAGAAACTATTGGCTAAATGGCAAAAGCCGATTTTGGACATAGTTTGTCACACATTTTGTCCACTTAACTGAAATAATCTAAACCAAACATTCACACAAGACCATTTGTGTGTCATATGTAATTTACATGGAAAATTTGGAAAGCATATGATGGAAGGTTATGTCCGAAAAATGGGCTATTTGAATAGTTTTTTGTGGTTTTTCATTATATGTGGGGAAGCGAGCATATCTTATTTCTTGCATGATGGCAAATTTTTTGTGACATGTTTTAAGAAAATTGGCTAAAAAAATGAAGTTATTCAAGTTTTTATTTTAAGTAGTATGAAAAATCCAATTTTTTCAGTTATTTGCAATTTTTTGTGTGAAGCCGATGTTGCAGGAAAACTATCAAGCATTCTACATAAATCTTGTAACATGAGCTATGTTTTGAATTAAGTGCAAAGAACATTAGCTCACCCAGTAAAGATTTTGTTTGTGTGTAACTTTACCTTGGTTTTTTTCAAAAAGTTGTACACACGATTGGTTTTATCAATTTTTCTGCCAAACCCCTTTTGTTCTGGAAATTGAAAAGTTGGTTTAATAGAACAATTACACTGAACAATTTTTTTAAGTCAATCAACACTAAAAATGCATTATTTTCAATAATATGAACAACAGTCCATCCATAAAAGGAAAATGCAATTAACTTCACCTGTAAGTTTTATTTCTGTTCCTGAAGCATTTTTTAACTAGAAATATCTTTTTAAATAGGCATGGAACCAATCATTTCACAAATGTATCAAATATAATTGTTATATAATATCCAATTGAAACTTTACGGAAACACTTAATATTTACCTTAAATTTTCCAAATAAAGGAAAAAAATATTTTTGATTTCTAGGGTTAGATCTCAACTTCTCAACTTCAATCTTCAAAAATTTAAATCCAATGTCAATTGTCTTCTTCTGTTTCCTTGAATCTTGTTTTTATATTGTCCTCTCTCCTCAATATTTTTCTCAGATTCTTTAAATAAAAATATGTTCATCTAATGTGTAGCTTAAACTTGCTTTTACTGATATTTGTTGGAACATTGATTTCATAAGTTTCACTTGTCATTGTAGTATTAACACCAAAATCTCCATAATTTATTTCTTAAGTCTAAAGCCCCTTTGTTAATGCTGTAGCGTAGATTCTTCATTACTAATATGAAGAAGTAATGGCAAATATACTGATTAAATCACCCTACTAACAGTATTGTGTACAATACATGTATGTGATTCCACATTTTATACATACAGTTGCTTTCTGTTGTATTATTACTTGATCCTATAGAAAGCTATTTGGTAAGAATATAGACAATTTATTTTCTAAATTTAATTTCCTGCAATGAAATAAAAACCTTAGAGCATCACTTTATAAGTGCATATTAGAAAAATCATGACAGCAAAAGGTTTAAAAATATCTGAAAGTAAATGTAAACGTTACAGTTTATCATTTTACATATAACATTAAGATAGTACGTGGTCTAATATTTTATTAGAGACCATAAAATTAATGAAAAAAGTGGCTATAACCAAATAAAAGAATTTTTGAATGAAGTCAGTGTTATCATCTAAAAGATTAAAGTAAATTAATTGAATATAGTAGTAGTAGTAGTAAATCAAGCAAAGTATTAAAAAGGTAAGAAAATGTTTATAGAAACAAATAAGAGTGCTGAACTGCTATGTTATATCTAATCTCCTAGCAGAACTAGCATAAAGAGGAATGATAAAGAATCAAAATTTACTTAGAGCAACAAAAAACACAAAACTGTGGAGAGCCATGTTTGTCCATGTCATAAAATAACATAATAGTACATAAATGAAGAAAATCAATATTTGGTTTATAAACAATAAAGTGAAAAGAAAAAAAAAACACTTACAAAGCCACAGAAGTTGTAGCTGGTCGTATTATTGTGTACTGAAGAACTCCATGTTTACAATTCTGGATAAACTTACTGTAAAAAGAATAAACAATTTTTAAAATACATTATTTAAATATACAATTACAATGATTAAACAATGGAAAGTACTATGTGAAATTGAAAATGTTGAAATTGTATTATATAAAAAGGTATGTCAAAGAACAACATTTTTCCGCAAATAGTCATAATGTGTATCAGACATCCATCTATCTCACTATAATCAGTCAAGATCACCAGGTTGTGAAACTGGAGTGACCTCTACAGTGTTTAAGCCTGGATGATAGTGTATATCCAGACAACAGTCCCTACTTTGTCTTGGCCAAAGGAATGCAGGGCATTATATTTAGAGCCAACTTGGCTTTGGGAGTTACCAAAAAGGCACTAATGTTGACAGTAAACCACTGTAAGGATTCCACTCTGAATTTACTTTCATAGTCTTTGTGTTTGGATAGGACAGAAAGGCTGGGAAATTCTGAGTTTTTCTTTTCTTAGACTGGATGTTACTCTGCTATTTAATTCATAGCTGGAAGATGTATTCATGTCTTTTCCCCCCAAAAAGAAAAAAAACAGAGTTGGTCATAATTTGAACTTGGTTATAAGCACATCCATAGTTTATATAAAACATGATAAAACTGAATCATGACTGTTAAACATATAAGATTTTATTTATCTGCTAGTAAAAGTAGACTTATTTGTTAAATTATTTCATTATCATGCAGTACTCACATTATATAATTTAAAATATATATTATATAAGGGAATGCTGAAAAGTTCTTGGATTCACTTTCCAAAATCTGACCAAATGACCAAACATCAGAAGATTTTTTGGTCAAGCTAAGAATTTTTCAGCAATTCTTTGTTGTTCCTTTAAAACTTATGGATTTATAATTCTTTACAAGAAAGGGATTACTTCTTCCACAAAAGTATGAAGTTTTTGTTTTAAAATTGTTATGGGGTCCTCCCCTTTTTCATATAAGTGGACTCGACGAAAGTGTTACTTGGACTGCTACCGTTAAATACCCAGAGTCAGTCAGAACATATGGAGATTGAGATAGTAAGAAGACTGTGATTGTGATTGAGTTACAAGCACGTAGACTCTAAGGAAGTCCTACTTCGAGACTGTATATATCTATATGTTATTGCTACTAACCGCATTCCTGGATTTACTAACAGTATCACCCTTTGTATTATTGTGTAAATACATTTAATTTCTTATCTTTAATTCTTGCGTTTGTCATTCATTGGAGACCGAATTTCATCTCGGAATCCACAACAAAAATATAACAAAATGAAAACACCATAGAATGTTATTTCTGATCAAAGTTCTAATTAGTAGTGAATATTTAAGGTCATTAAAAGTTTAGTATTGAAATCTAAAACCTTTACCAAATGAAGCTTCTTATTAGCATATGATAAACTTACAAATGCTGTCAAAATACAGGATCCAGTGTAATATTATTAATATCTAAAAAATTGTAACACTTTGGAATATTTAAATTGGAAATGTGGTAAGAATAAATTTTACTAAGCAAAAAAAAGATTAATGTTTATTCCTTTTGGTTTAAATTCTTCAGACTTAATAAAATTTGACTGAAATATTGCTATTTTTACTATCAAATATGAAATATGTTCTCACTACCTTTTTTTATAGTGAGAATTTCTTCAAGTACTAAACAAATTACACCTGCCTTTACAATTTACATGTGAAAAGGAGAACAATTCTTTCATTTTTGGATGTCTTGTTTCTTACATCAGTGTACCAGAAACCAACCTTTACTGGATTATACATCCATTGGAGTTCCCTCTGTTCAAGATAGCAAAAGATAAACCTTATTAAAATCTTGGCTCATCATGCCCTAGTTATTTACTCAGAAACAAAGTTAATTTCAGAAATTTAATTTATGAAGAAAGTCTAGATTTGGTTGGTTGTTTTATGGCATATCAACCTCAGTGGGTCATTTAATGCCAACAAAATTTTGAAATAGATTCATAGCGATAATTTGGTAAAAAAGGTGTGTATATATTTGAACCATTTTTCAATTACTCATATTTTTGAGTACAATCCAACTTCTTTTAGGAAATTTACTATCTTGGATGGTTTTATTTTCATTACTCACTTGGTTTTGGTTTGTTTTAAGGCATATCAACCTCAATGGGTTATTTAATGCCGACAAAAATTTTATTGTTGGTAATATTTTGTTTTGTCAAAAATCTATTTCTGGTAATAATTTTTTCTTTCGAAAAATGTATTGCTGGTAATAGTTTTTTTTTTTTTAAAAAGTATTGCTACTAATATTTTTTTTCCTCAAAAATGTATAGCTGGTAATATTTTTTTTCCAAAAATGTATTGCTGGTAGTATTTTTTTTTTCAAAAATGTATTGCTGGTAATTGATTTTTTCTTCAAAAATTTATTGCTGATTATAATTTCTTTACAAATTATTTCTTGTATTAAAACCTATTTTTACACTTTCATAGTGTTTTTACCCCAGTTTTGGGGTTAACTATTTGCCCATAGCTGGGACCCTAACAGGTGCTACCACTCCAGGTCAGGGTGGACCTGGGAACACCAGCAATTAAGAGGTGGTTTCACGCTTCTCAAACCTTCTGATCAGAGGCCTTGCTGCTGGATGTAGTTTATCGTCTTACCCAGGACGCAGATGTATTTTATCGTCATACTCAGGACAGGAAGAAAGTCTTGAATGAAAATAGATACTTGCTGGATATTGTGAAGGATAGCATTCAGGGGAAAATGTTACAATTTGTAAAATTTAAGCTGACTGGCTTCCAGAAATGTCTATTCTATTTGCATGTACTGAATAATGATGTGAACACCAGATTTGCTAGGCAGATTTCTGGAGGCATAAAAACCTGTTATCCATTTGCCAATCCACACATTATCTTTACTGTACAACCTATGTTGAGATTGATTTGAAAGGATGTTCTACCTTTCCACCATATCAGTTCAGTCATTTATTATTTCAAAAGTCAGTATAATGCTGACTACAAAGGTAGAACAGATCAGAGGTTGGAAGCAAGGATTAATCAACATGTACCAGCCAATATTCGGAAGGGCAATTTGAACAAGAGGTATAGATGTGTTAACACAGCTGGTTCAGCAATAACTGAACATTTGTTAAACAACAATCAATGTGGATGATATTTTCTCTGTACTGATTAATGTTCTCTGATTTTCAACTTAAGGCTTTAGATTCTTTTTATATTAAGTCCTGCCAGCCATCTATCTGTAAGCAAAAATAGTTGTTAGGCTTAAATATAATTATCCTTTGATTTTTATATAATTATTACATAACATCTGGTCTTTGGTGTTTTTCAATTTAGTTGCTGTGCACATTTCTTGTTCTCAAATGGGCTCTGATGAGAAAAGATCAAACTATAAATTGCCTTTTTGTTAATTTGTTCTTGTATTTGAATATTACCACTTTATGTAATATAAACCTTTTTTTTATTTTCTCTTGTTTTAACATACCTTTTTTAATTGTTTTTATTAAATATCTTAATCTGTTTTTGATAACTTTAAATTTGTATTAGGTAAATCTAAGACAGGGATGGGGGAAACTTCATTTTCAACTACTTTTTTGATAATACTTCATTCTATATTACAATATATTTTTTGATTAACACATATTTCATATTACCACATACTTTTTGATAATGCCCATTCTAATATATTCTTCTGATAATACCTCATTTCATATTAGAATATATTTTTCTGATGTAGCAAAAAAAAACAACAAAAAAACAAAAAAAAACCTTTAAACTTATTGTAGCAATTAATGCCTGCAATTGTTTTTTCTTGTAGCCAATTCAACACAACAGTCAACTGTCTCTTTTTCTCACTAACTGGTCACTCCATTCTTTATGTTTTTATCTATCATTGACAGTCAAAATTTGCATATGCGCAAAAGATAATCTTGCAAAAGAGCATCTTACTCTGAGATCTATTTTAAATATATGACCTTGAAACCACTATTTCTTGGACAGTTTACACCATGAGGCACATTTGAATTTGTTTGTGCTGGAGGTAAGTTATTTTATTCTTGATTTTATTCCAGTGTTGCAAAAAATACATGCAACCCTAGGACTCTTTGCTTTCTGCGGTAGTTCTCTATATCTGATAAAGTTCAAATTCCTGTCAATTCTGCCTTGTTCACTTTTACACAAATACTCTTTAGAAAAACATGACACCATCTCTTTTCCCACTAGCTTTGGATTAAATAGCTGGGTAGAGTGGGCTCTCTAGACTTGCATGAATACCACTTTAGGTGAGGGTCTAGTTGGAATTCATAACTATGGAGAATGTATTAGGAAACTACTCCACTATTGTCATCAAGAAGAGATAGCAATTCACAGATAATAAATAAAAGGAATCTGTGGAGAGCCCTTATCATCTATGTCCTAAAGGAACATGGCATAAAAAGAAAAAAAAATTAATTAAGAGTAATAATACTAGCAGTAAGTTAATATTTTATTGAAATAAATCATTTTATAGAATCTAGTATCTCTCTACTGCTGAAAATAAACATAAAAACAATGAAAACCCTATTTTCCAAAGAAATCTTGTGTATTTGTGTTATTAAGAAGCATTCAAATTTAATAAGTAACATTATTTAAATATAGTTGGATAATTTAAGGAATTTAAATATAAAGCAATCAATATGTTTTAGAAATAGGTAAAGAATTTATCATAGCGAAATGCAACTCTGTCATTTTTCTTTCAGCAAACTGACGCTTTCAATTTAACTTTGAAGAGTTTGTTCAAGATTATTAATTCTGTATATTGTTTTGGAGACATATTATGCTGGTTATCCAAAACCAATACTATTTCTTTCCTGCTCATAGTTTTATGATGATCAATTAAATTATACTTCATAACTTAATTAATTTATGACTTTCATTTATAACCATAAGTAGTGTAAAAACCTTGCACTGTTGTAAATCTCCTACACAATAAAACCAGGAGTGGCTGGGCTATGACTACCAACTAGTACCAACCCAATAGACCAAATGTCTATCAACCTTCAACACCACTCAAGTTGCTCTGGTCATCATCAACTGTCGACACATCTAAGACCAACAGTTAACTACCAGCATGGCCCCAAGTGTATTTAAAACATGTGGATTCTTTGATTGTATTTTTCTTTTTCTTGCTGAGAATAAATTTTGGCATATTTTATCTAAACTCCTTGTTCTTGTTATCCTTGCCTTGGCTTGTGTCTTTTCTTTAATTTTAATGTTTGTGGGGTTCATTTAACATCAACATGCAGATTCCACAACAAATTTTAAAGAGATGCTAAAATAATTGTAATCATTTTTATAAGTGACTACCAATAAGTTGTGTCTTAAAGATATGGTTTGGTTGAATGAGAAAAACATTGGAGTAATTAAATATAAAATCTCATTCAGTAATGAGTGTATAAATGTTTTCATAAGTTTCTTTAAAACATGGAGAGGTATAAGCAACAAAGATAAACAGGATAAAGAATTTTTAAAAATTAAATGTTTCTTTTACATTTTTAGAATTATTTCTTGTAATCTTGTTGAACTACAAAGAAGCCTTATTAGATATTTCAATAATCAACTTATAAAAAGGTATTTCAGAGATTAGATTATTCTAACAACTGTGTAAAGTAGAAGATTATAGTTTATTTTATAGTGTCATACTTACTTTCCCATAGGCCATACAGGTTGCAAGCAAAATGGGAAAAAATGATGAACTTGGTCCTTTAAAGTGAGGACTTCTTCCAAATTGTATTCTCTGCACAGGTAACTTAGAAGATAACTCATGAAGTTATAAATGACATAGGCTTCATAGCATTCTCGCAAGGTATCTAAATAAATAGCTGCTTCAGGGAATCGCAAAGCAAACCACTACAAGAGAAATAAATGTAAGAGATACAGAAAAATTACATCTTTGCATCATTTTTCATAAAATATAAGTGAATAATTATGAAACAATTTATTTTTTATTAATATTTAATTAATAATAATAATATTAATAAATTAAACATGGAATATTAAAAATCATCATCTAATAATAAAATTAAGATTTTTAAAGAAAATAATTAACATTAAATTTACCTAAATACTTATATAAGTAATTCTATTTTGAGTGAGGGAAAAAATACAAAAAACTATCAACTTCTTATTTAAATATCTTAATTTAGTAAAGTGTTATTATCATACCAAGAGTTGTTTAGACTTTGGAAACCCTTGTTTTATTGTTACCACAATATTTCACCCAGTCCATTCTATAGCCTTCTTCAGGTATAAAATTCATATGGAAATAGAGCACCCTACATTTTTTTGTAGTGCAAAGCAGAAAATAGTGACAATATTGTAATGAGCAATGCACAACAGAATGTAGAATAAGATAATGAAGGGGATTGGGCAAGAGGATGGTCTTATTGTTAACAATCTTAACTAATTCCTTGTGCTTTTAGATTAGATTAGATTGAGCATTAAAATGAGTGTGAAATGATGAATGAATTCTTTTAGTATAAGAAACAATATTTGGGTTACAGTTCTTTATACTATCTATTGTTTTGGATTCTCAAAAAAAAAAAAAAAAAATCACCCTGACACAAACAAAAATAAACACATCATTAACTTATTCTTTCATAACCAGATGTACCCTAATTATAAACAGGATGAAAAGTCATTAAAAATATAATTTACCAGTACATATCACTTAACAATCCTCACGAACACCTTAGATTTATCATTTACTATCAACAATTCAAGATATCTAATTCTTACCAATAATACAGGACCTCAAAAATACAGCTATGAAAAAATAAATTTGTTTATAAATTCTCATGATATCTTGGAGATTGCCTCTCCAATATCAACAATCAAAAAACAGCAATGAATTCTTACAATGACCACACATGCACAATACTCTTATAGATTAACTTGTCACCTTTCGAAACTGTGCAATTCATGCACATATTGACCAGCATATCACAAAGAAACCACAATTCAACTATCAATATAAGACAAATATTAGTAGATAATACCAAAATACTATACAGCATTCAATGCAAGGAAAGACTCAAAATCCTAGAAGCTCCTATTATACAAAATAAACAACCCATATTAAATAAAATATAGTTCATCAGAGGAGTTTGGATAATATATTTAGTATGTGTACAAGAAAAACAAAAAAAAATATTGATGCATTCTTTGTGGTGTGATCTTACTCCCCTTAAATGACCATTTTGGTAGTACCAACGCAGGTGCACACACGCATTTCTTCAACCCAGTATGCAGACAACAAAGGTCTTATAATTAGAAATGAGCAAGATGTACTAGATGAAGATGTAGTAGGTCACTTTAGTGTTCTTAGGTTCCATGGGATATGGGAGCAGAAGATCTACTAAGGTGTGTCTGTTAACACCATGACATCAGACTCAACACTTGGGCTCATGACATCACTAATTGGGCTCTGGAAAACTGGCAAAATGTTGTGTAGTCCAATGAATTATGAGTTTATTATTAGCACTTAATAATAAAAATTTGGTAGGTGGGTACATATTTCAGAAGACTGCAAGAAATATATTTTTAAGTCTTTCATGAGAAACAGTTTTATTATACTGACTGATATGAAATATTTGGTAAATGCAATATTACTTTATTTGGTCAGTGAATATGGCTAGTAAATTAGCACCACCTTGTTCAGCCCTGTATTGACAGTGTACCACATTTAAGAAATAAATATTATTTATACATTACCAAGAAAAACCAGCCTTTTCTATGTATATGAAACACCTGAATAAGGCACTAAAATGAAGTAGTTAAAACACAGTGATAACAATAAGAGTAACAAAGAATGATTTCTAAATTCCAAATGACTCTTGGAATTATTTTCAAAGATTTTCTGCTTATATTATTATTTAAAAATTTAATTACTAAAAAGTTTGACCTGAATGAAAATATCCTTCTATACTATCATAATGGCTGCCATTACATGTATTGGTTAAATGATAGGACAATATTTCTGAAGAATATATAATTTTTAACATTTTGAGATACAAGGTCAGAAAAGCAAAAGAAATTATGACAAATTAGATTTAGACTTAACAAAATTTTTTTTTTATTGTGTATTACTTATATAAGAGACAACTTTGATCAGAATTGCCAGTGGTTGTGGTTATAAATTCCTACAAAAATGGCCCTTGATCATTTCTCTTGGGAGGATCTGTACATTTTGTAAGCATTGCTTTGGTGTATTCTGCAGATGAATGGATTTTAAATATAAGAATAACTTACTGCATTAAGCGCATAGATGGGAACCATCCATAGAATTCTGAAAGTAGAATAAAGCTAAGATTTTAAATATAAAAGATGTGTAGGAATTCAAAGGATAATAAAAAAATAAATGAAAATATACATTATCACAAAAAGTATTCTTGGCAAACATTTCTATTGAAACATTTTTTAAGCATTTTGCTATACTAGTTTTTGCTATTTTCAGGAAATTTCATAATTCCATAACTACAGAACTTCTCATCTTTCTCAGTAAAAATGCTCAAGATGTCTTTCAGGAAATTGAAACTTTTCTCAAAGAATGAAATGAATGGCAATCTAAAGATGAACACACCAGATGAGTCAAAAACTTCTGAGCCAAAATGTAATGATTTTGCCTGATTAACAGAGAAACATACTATCTTGTATTGTCCTGTTGTCCTTTCTCAACTAATTCTGAATGCTTTTTGTCTTGAATTGTTTATATTGGAGGCAGTCCTTATTTGAATAAATCATTTATTTTTCTGGAAAGATCAAAGGATATGATTCCTTTTTTATTCAAATGTACACAGCATCAACATTTACCATGATTATTAGTTCCTCATTTTGCTTGCAATCATTTCAGAAACAGAATATACTTAAATATTGAATCATACACAAAAGTATGATCCATTAGATTGTTTTCATTTAATTTATATGGAAGCTACACATCAAAAAACTAATATAACCAAGATGATGCAAATGCTATTCTATTTTGTTTTGGATGTTTTGAGTGTATTGGCTATCTCTCATATTGTATAATGATTATTTGCAAGCAATGATTTCATTTGATTGCTCTCACTTCTAGTCTACCTATGGAACATTTTTCAGTGAGAAATTTCTAGCACAAAACTTTGTAAACTATTTTGATACTTTTAAGCATTCTTAAAAACATTTCCATAAATTGAACAAATCTTTTCTTGTGTTTAAATTACATTTTTCCTTTCTAAATAAAAATGCATGTATTAAAAATTTAGCTCATTTTCTTTCACCTTCAATGTTAGAATAAATAAAAAATAAACCAATCTTTAATAAAGCAACTTTTTTTTTTTTAAATTTAAAACTAAATTCTCCTAATGAGTAAATTAGAACAAACATTTAAGATTTTTTAATGGAATAATATAAAATCCATTTTGTAATTCTCAATTTATTTTTTAATGTAGGGAAAATTTTCATAAGGTTTTAATCAGTTGCTCCCCAAAGGCAGTCAAATACAAGGTGGATATATGTGGCCTTGAAACACTAAATAAGGTCAAGGTTGAAATATGGAGATTAAAAAAATAAACAGATTCTCTATGGTTAAGCGTACTGTTCATTATTAAAAGAGTTTTCTAAGTAATTTTTCACTTCTTGGATGAAGCATTGTTGGAATCATTCTATAAATAAAATTGCTGTCACTCATGATTTCTGATTATTTTGGCAGAACACAAGATCATTTTTGTCTTTCACAGCATCTGGTATTTTTTGCTCTTGAAACATCACTGACAAACCAAACATCTTTGTTTGTGAAAGGTATTTTCCATTTGATTATGAAACAGTGGTTACTGGAGGAAAAGTACAACCCAGAAATACCCCATCAGTATTTGATCATTTGCCATTACCTAGCCCTCAACCAAAACAAAAAACAAAAAAATTAGTTTCTGGGTGGTTATGATATTCTTGTGCTGCAACATGGGCCCTGGTTTGGTGGTGGTGGTTGATTTATTTGATATTGGCCTTCATTAGCCTGCATTGTTGTGGGGAATTCCATCCTTTCCGGGCCATCTGCATCCTCCACTTCCATTTCCTCTGGTGCAGTACCTAGGGGTTTGGTCTGGTAGCATATGAGTTGCAATTCTGCATGTTGATTTGTGCCAACAGGTGTAGCCCATTCTCTGAGTTGTTGGTGTCAGAATCCAGGTCCTGTTGGGTCGTTTGATGTGTCTAATGTGTCGAGGACAGCCTCTGTTTTGGGGTAGTAAGGAGTGTCTACCACTGGATCTATCTTTCGGAGGAAGTGGCAGTTGCATTGGGTCACCAGTCAATGCATATGTGGTACTGCCTGAAGCCTAGTGCTTTTACCATTCTCCCACTTTTTGCCCATTGATATGCTTATGGGCTGACTTGCTTCTGTATCTGGACAGATTCTCCAATTCTTAGTTCCCGAAGTGGGCGATTGTGTGCATTATAGCACCTTTTGTTTTTCATGTGTGTTTTGGCCATTGCTGATTCCCTATACTGGCTGATTTCACCCTACTGTTTGTGAATTTGGTATTTGTCCTGGAGGGCTGGACATGTCCATAGATGGGTGTCCATAGATGGGTGTGTCAATAGGGATCTGGCTGCACGATCATAGCATAGGTGACTGTCTGCTAGTATTTGTTTAGCTTTTTTTTTGGTCAGTTCTGCCCATCCATTGTTCTGTGGGTACGCTGACGATGTGCACTTTCTTATACCCCATTTTCCAGGAACATGTTGTACTCCTGGGAATCAAATGGTGGTCCTCTGTTGGATGATATTTCTTCCAGGGCACCGTACATGCAGAACAAGTTTCATATGGTTTCACATACATTTCTAGCATTCCTGGAAGACATAAGGGCAATCTCTACCTATCTAATATATCGATCTGCATATACCATAAAGTTTTTTCCTTGCAGGTTGAAGAAATCCATCACCATCTTCTGGAATGGAAATTCAGGGTTCGATGGTGGCATCAAGGGTTCCCTGGGTTGTGATGGAGCCATTATGTTGCACATTTTGCATTGTGCTCGGGTCTGGCAAATACTTGTGTCTAGCCCTGGCCAAAACAGATGTCTGGCATTAGCCAGCATGCCATTAACGCCCTGATGAGTGGAGTGAAGTGATTCAAGTACTTCTCCCTGTAGTTTTCTGGGTATGAGTATTTTACTCTCCATTATAGTTACTTATTTCAAGCAGTATAACACCTCCTTCATAGGCCAAAATCAGCAGATTATCTCCAGCTTTTCATGCCAAGACTTGGGGAATCCTTTCTATATGTATTCCACTAGACAGACATTCTTCATTCACAGCTGCTGTGGTCACGATCCTGTCCCATGTGATTGCTCTTAATTTGGGGTCCTGCTTGTAGGTGGAACTGAATGATGCTTTTATAGCACTGTTGATGATTTTGTGCTGCATCTTTATTAGTTGCCCAATCTTGTCTTGATGTGCAATCTGGTGTGGTATTGAGTTTCCAGTGGAGGTGTTTTATGTAGAACTTATACATCAAGGACAGTTTCTTGAGGCTGAACAGTCATGGGTTCTTTATATCTTCCAGAGCCTTGTCTGAAAAGATTTTTTATTAGAGGCTTATGATCCACCATTACCAACAGTTCCAGACATCCTAACATGAACATTCAACACAATTCTAACTCATATACTAGTGCCAATGCCCCACCTCCACTGGTGCATGGCGTGACCCAGCGTTACTGGTGAATCAGGATCCAGCTAGTTGGTGTATCTACATTAAATGTGCTGGACCCAAAATGCTCCAGTATCCGTTGTTCCAAACGGGGTCTATTATTCTCCATAGGAGTAAACTGGATATTGGCCAGTTTAGGTGGGATGGTTGTTCTTCGAGGACAAAGTCTGATTCAGACAGGTAGAATCCAGATGTGATCTCTGACACACACACACACAGTTTGGTGTGTCTCCTGTGATCCAACTCTGATGTTAGTGAATATTACACCTTTTATTTGCAGCTCATTCTCGGTGATGCTCCAGATTTTGTGATTAGTTAGTACTAAGTATTTGTCTAGGCATCTGATGTCTGTATGTCATGCCCGCTGAAGCATATCTGTACCCTAGTATCAGCTACAGCATCAATTTGGTGGGTGTAGAGGCTGGTTGGTCTCAGGAAGATGTGCCCCAATTTCGCATGGGCTTCCAGAATTATTGTCAGGGATTGGGGTGGATCTGGAGGCACACCCTTGGAATTTGCTTCCATTCCAAATGAGGTGAGGCACAGCCTTTGGTTGTGCTGTATTGACTTTACCCTCTTCTTGGTTTCTGACACACCCTCTCCATGTGGCCAATTATCCCATAATTGAAGCATGTCATCTTGGCTGCTGGGCAGCCCTTATAAACATAAAAAAACATATAAAAATACCACTGGATATCACAGGGATACCAGATATTTTCTTTTTCACTTTTCCCTCTTTTTGCATATTGGTTAACTCCCCAAAATATCCTGTTATTTAATTTTGTGTTCTTGTTAATGCAAATTGATTTTAATTCTTAAAACTATGTGTACTAGTAATATCTATTATTTTATCATAGCAAAATAAATATTTTCAATTTCTGTGAAACAAATTGTACATGTAACAAAAATCACAAATTTTGTAAAGATTATCAAAATTATTGTTTCTCTGAAATTTTGTAAAGTATTTTCAGGCTTTGTTGATACATAATTTCATAAAATGCTGAAACTGCTTCCTGATTGTATTATACAATTATATATTCTGTAGTAAATCAGCATAAACAAATGAACTCATTATTTTTGCAATATTATCTAAAAATTTCTAATTTATGGTTAATAAAATGATTTTTGTGCATTTAGTTATTTTATGATATTTTTGTTCTTTCTTTGTATATTTGCATTTATGGAAATAAGTCAATAATTGTAAGATGAATCCTAACATTATATATATTTGTTAATTAACTAATTACTGGACATTACAAACAAGTTCTTTGCTAAAAATGTTCTCAGGAATTGTTATTTAGTAGTAATTTAGGCTTCCACATGTCCATCCCCAGTGGCGAGCCCTAGTTGCATGGTTGCGAGGCCTCGTATATAGATTGATTTGCTTTGAAGGCATTTAAAATGATTAAATCTTGAAAATACTATGAAAAAATTATGACTTTTTTGGTTTATTTTTATTTTACTGCTTTGAAATGTATTTTGCAAAGTTTAATAAAAGTTTTGTACACAAAGTTTTGATGATTGGGCCAACTGCAAATAAATGAAATCATTGCTTGCAATTCTACTGATGGTGAATGTCCTATTATAGTTTTAGCAATTAGACATTGCATACAGAGATTACTCATAGTTTAATAATTACTATGTTTTGTGATAATAAAACATAGTAATTATTAAACTATGAGCAATCTCTGTATGCAATGTCCAATTGGTAAAACTACAATAATTTTAGCAAGAGCAGATTTTCCCTATTCTGTACAGATCACTCAATTTAGGAGGGATAACATTTTTAATTTTAATTGTCAAAACAGATGGAAGATAATCCATAGCTGACATGCTCAAACCTGTTGTTCTCATGTGGGGGTTACCAAAGTGGTTATGGGTTTACAGGAGGTTATTTTCAGATAATGTCCTTAATCCAAATATATATCAATTTTTGGCTTTTTAAAAATGCATGCAAAGATAATTAATATAAAGATATATACTGCATGTACTGATAAAAATTTATATCTCTTAAAATATACAATGTTCATGTCAGAAAGTTCTTGTGTTGAACATCTAAAGTCATTTAGCATAATATATATATATATATATATATATATATATATATATAGAGAGAGAGAGAGAGAGAGAGAGTCCTTGTAAATGTGTATGTACGTATGTCTCTTGATAGTAGTAAACCTTTTGACTCTGTGGGATTTTTAGGTGTCTGAAAATTTAGGTCATGGAGAACAGACAAAACATTTCATTGACTCTGTTTGCCTTGCTTGGTTGTCTCTAAGTTTATTGGAGATCCCTATGATATTCTGTTGAGATGGTGTGAACATTTTGATTCTCAATAGGTACTAAGAGGACTAACAGATCTAGACCTGAAAACCTGTTAAAGAATTTCTCGAGCCTCCAACATTTGAGGAGGTTGAAGGTGCTGTCAGAAAGCTTAATGGTGGAAAGTCAACTTGAATGGATGGGCTGTATACCGAGATTTTTAAGCATGGGGGAGAAAAGTCTTTTGCATCGGCTTCATTCATTGTTGCTAGATGCATGGAGTAATAACAGTGTTCTGGATGACTGGAAAGATGCTGTCATGGTTGTTTTGTACAAGGGCAAGGGGTCAGGGATGATTGTGGAAATTATTGTGGCATATTGCTGTTGTCCGCAAGGTCCTTTGTGGAGTTCTGCTGGATTGCTTGTTGCACCACATCGCTAATGAAGCTCTTCTGGAGTCACAGTCGGGCTTTAGGGCTAGACATGGCACTGTAGATATGATCTTCACAGCCAGACAACTGCAAGAAAAGTGTGTTGAGCAGAATATGGATCTCTACCAGGTATTTGTTGACTTGACAAAGGTATTTGACACCATAAACAGAAAGGCTTTGTGGAATATTTTAGGGAAGATGGGATGTCTCGAAAAGTTTGTTTCCATACTTTACTTGTTTCATGATGATATAAAAGCATGGATTAATGTTGGTGGAAAGCTCTCTGAGCTGGTGGCAGTTGAAAATGGAGTTAAGCAGGATGATATACTGGCACCAACCCTATTTGTCCTGTACTTCTCTATCTTTTTTGAACAGGCCTTTAAGAACTGCAACCTTTGTATTTACATTCGCTATTGTTCACCAGGAAGGTTGTTTAACATCAGGAGGTTTGATGCAAAGTTGAAGGTTCACTTATCGTTGGTCAGGAATTTGCTATATGCTGATGACTGTGATCTTGTGGCTCACTTGAAAGGAGATATGCTTTTTCTAATGCATGCCCTGCATTGAGATTGACTATTAGTTTGAAAAAGACAGTAGTCATGTACCAACCAGCTCCAAGGAAGCCATATTGTGAAACATGCATCTTTGTCTATGGTAAGAGGTTGAAGGCTGTTTGCACATTTGTGTATCTTGGGAGCACAGTGAGCATGTTGTGTCATAGTGATGTGGAAATTTCAAACCATATACAAAAAGCTAGTGATGCATTTGGAAAACTGAATAAACATCTGTAGTCTCAGCATGGAATTCAGTGAGTACAAAGCTAAAGGTCTATCGTGCATATGTGCTTACAACAGTTCTTTATGCTTGCAAGACGTGGGTGGTTTACCACAGACAAATGAAAAGGCTTGAGAGATTCCACCAGTACTACTTACATTGTATCCTTGGCATTACCTGGCAAATGTTTGTTAGTGATGTAGACATGCTAAAGAGGAGCGACTGTGACAGTACTGAGTTCTTGAAACTAAAAGATCAACTTCAGTGGCCAGGCTACCTCATCAGAATGGATGACAGCCGTATTCCAAATTGTTTTATGGTGAGCTGCGAACAGGGAAGAGAAATGCCGTCAAACCTAAGATGTGCTTTAAGGAATAAGAAATGCAACATTCCTTGTGAGCACTGGGAAGAATGTGCATCTGATCGCAATAATTGGAATGAGGCTGCTTGTAGTGGAAAGTGTCACTTTGAGGAGGAGAATAGGAGGCAAGCAAGGATAAAAGAGATGTGTGTAAAGGCGTCTCTATTGAACTTCCTGAAGATACCCGCAGGCAGCTTGATCTGATGTGTACAGATTGTGGTAGAGTGTGTTTGCCGATGGCTAGTCTAAGGAGTCACTTGAGAGCGCAACAACAGAGGATAGCAATTGACCATAAAGCCGTAGACATCCAGCAACTGAAATGTGATATTTGCGGAAAAACATGCGAGTCCAGCAGCAGTTTCATGTGACATTTTAATTGCATGATAATGTAATATCCGTTGTTGCAACTCTTAAGTGCCCCGTTTGTGCCAGAGTATGTAGGTCCCTTGTTGGGCTAAAGAGCCACATTCATTCAGCACATCACTTTTTTGAGATAAAGGAATTCATTTCAGAATTGTGTCTTGATTTCTGATTGGTTCACAGGATTCATTTGACCATCCCTTTTCTTCAGCTACATTTAGGAATGATGACCTTTTGGCATATTTATTTATTTATTTTTTTATCTTTTTGTTTTTATTTCTTTATGGCAAACTAAAATGGTTTACCAACTTTTAGTTTTCCATTTTTGTTTTTTTTGAAATAGTGAACTTTTTATTTTTCTATCACTACTCTTTCTCCGTTTGTGGAGGAGATATTGCTACCTATTCATTGATGACTTTTTAAAACTAAGTATCATGTGATGAAACACTGAAGTAAAATGGAACCTAACATGCAAGAATCCCAACAGTTAGGAAATGTCAAAAGAAATTTGGCAATAATGCATTTTTAACTTCATTTCACCTTCTTAGACTATGTCAGTATCTTAAAAGACGTTTACGGTTTAATTCTCAAAACTTAGCGAAGAATGTCCACTTTAAGGAGGTGGTTAAACCCTTCTGGCCTTTGTTTTTTTAAATAATTTATATTTTTAAGAGAATGAATGAAAAAAAAAATGTTTTTATTACATGGTTGATGTTTTTTCGTGATTTTTTTAGCCATGTTAAAATTATTTTTAATTAAAAGAAGAAAAGAAATGCGTTCATGACATATGAAAGGTCTAAAAAATTAAAGAGGCTAAATTTGGGAATATTAATTTGCTGATCTGGCTGGAGTCATTGTATTTGTAAAGAATTTTTTTGATGATTTTTTCAGTCTTTGTGATACAGATATTATTACAGAATTATTGCTTCCGCTTTTAGATTTTCGTATAACTCGACTTTTAGACAAGTATGGTCACGTATGCTTCAGTTATTGTTAAAAATATAATTTCGACTGATTGTCAGTAACTTTATTTTGAAAATTAAAGCCGAATGATTAAAAATAATAAAATTAATGATTAATGTATTATTTTCTGGTAGAAATTTATAGTTAGTTTTAAATTCAAATAAGTGACTTGTCATTTTTTCTGGACCTGTGATTTTTTGATTTTTTTAAAAAATAAGCTAAAAAAACGTTTACTGGCACAGAAGTAAGCAGACCAGAACATTAAAGCAAAAAGTTGAATAACCGTTAAAATTGTACTTTATTTATAAAATTCAATCACTTCAACAAAAAAACGAATTTCATTTTCACGGTATTGTTTTTTTTTTAATTATTTAAATAATTATTTTATAAATAAATTGAAAAATAAATGTCAGATTTAAACATTTAATAAACAATTTTAATGGCTTATACCTGTAGGCATCTCTAAATTTGCACAACTAGAGAATAATCAAGAAACGGAGTTAAATCTATAATAAAAGTTTTATGTCTATTTACGTTTTTCATTGAAACTCAAGAGAAATAACTCATATACAAAATATTACGGTAAATAAATACCTTAACTACGCAAATCAGATTATTTAAAATTGTTTAGCTTTTTTATTCTTACTCTTTTTCTCGGACTTACCTTATGATATGGCGTTGTAGATGTGGTTGGGTATAATGTATGAGATGCTGAAGTATACCCCACAAAGATATGGGAAGAGCCATCATGACAAATAAGCCACCGACGAACCATCCTTCCACATGAGTTTGTGCACCATGTTTGTTTAATTCCATGATACACAGGGGTAAGGCAACAAGTAAACAGAGGCCGTAGAAGGTCATAACTAAGGGACGGATCCAATGCCTCCATCTCAGTAACCAATCCATGACAACTAAACTAGCCGGGTGCCATGAACTATAAGACTGGCATCTATGGAAAATCAACGAAGAGTACACAATCCTCCACTTTCAAAATAGGATTAAGGGGAAACAATTTCGTATGTCTCAGGCTTTACATGAGTGAATAAATAAATAACACATGAATGAAAATAAAAATAAAGTATCAATACGCAATTTGTGGTCAGTGATCATCATTAACATTTTGGGTTTGGCACATTATTTCTCTCCGAACTAAAATACTAATAAATGCATTAAAAAAAAAAGGAAAAGAATAGGAAAGTAATTTAGCATGATTATTGACATTTTTATGATTTTAGGTACCAAGAAATCATGGTAAATTTGCTTTTTAAGCCCCGCGCTAAATATCTATCAAATGTTTGTTTTCCCAAATCGTCATACTTCCGTGTAAAGAACATGAGACGCGCGAACTTTGTAAAGAGCATGATTATTTACGAAATAAAAAAAATGCTAGGAAGGAGCATTTTATTTTTGTATAATTTTGTAAATAATTATGCTCTTTTCAAACTTCATGCAAAGTTTGCGCATTATTCGTTTTATTTTTGTTTGTTTTAATTTTAATTAAAAAAAAAGCTTTATTATTTAATTTGTTAATTTGTTTTTGTTTATCAATAAAAAAAAAACTACTTATCAAAAAATTTCAGTTTCAAATATATGAAAATATTAATTAAAAAAAAAGAACAAATTAAATAATACAGTAGAGTAAAGCATTTTTTATTTTTTAAAATAAAAAAAACAATAATTAATTAAATAAAACTACACTTATCCACCCCCCGCAAAAATACATTGCTTTACCGTAGTGCGTAGTGATTTCTGCGACGAAATTCTGTAAAAAGAAAAAAGTAAATAGGCCCAAATGTATGCTTACGCCATATAAAGAAGTGCCCCGCGCTTAATTAGTAAAAACAATACCCGTAATGGCGGATGAATTACCCAGAATTAGACCGATTTTTTCTTGTCGATAACTCCAAAACGGTAGTTTTTTTTTTTTTTTTTTTCACAATTTAGTGGTTAATTCGAGTTCAACATGTACATTTACACGGAAATATGACGATTTTGGAAATTTTTTATAGATATTTAGAGCGGGGCTTAAAAAGAAACTTTTCCGAAATCATCAAACCTAAAATTATTAAAAATGGTTACTTTTTAATCAAAATTTCTGAAAAGTTATGCTTTAGTTTATTCTAAACCTAAATATCTTTGCTAGTAACTTTGAAAGCATATAACGTTTCAAAAATTATATTTGCAATTTTTTCAGTTTATTTTGTTTTTCCAATTAGGATACTTATTTTATTTATAAAACACAGCATTGAGAATTTCTGAGCTTATGTCACGTTAACATAATTTATGACTTATTATTTTCTTATAGCTTCATAATTCTGTTCAAATTGGTAGGAAGACAATAGGAAGCCTGCCTTACGACCAATAATAAACTTTATCTCCATAATACAATTGCTTGGTATTTAAAAAATAAGGAAAAATATTCAAGCTCTTTGGATTTAAATTTTTTTTAAAAAAAGAATGGTAAATTTTCATTTTAACACCCGAGCGTCATTTACTGCTGAACTATTTTCTTTCAGAAATTAGTACGCGTTTCCGTAAAGCGATTTTTTTGTACTTAATTTAAGAATAAAGTTAACTTTCAAATATATGTAAACATCGACAAATAAAAGAATAATTTAAAAAAAAAAACACCTAACCCTAATTTGAAAGTTAACTTTCTTCTTTAAAAAAAAAAGAAGAATAACCAAAAAAAAAAAAAAAACACCTAACCCTAATTTGAAAGTTAACTACAAGGAATTACTGTGAAGGGAGTAAATAGGCTAAAATTGTATACGTCCGCCGACATAATTCAGCACTTAATTACTTATCAATAAGCCGGTAAGGGATGACAAAAAGAGCGAGAAGAAGTACGATGTTTTTCTGGTCTTTAACATCCAAAAAGGTAGGTTTCTTTAATATCTAATTGTTGATTTGAGTTCAGCATATACATTTGCACGGAAATAAGACTATTTTGGAAAAATTTGAAGGGATAATAGCGCTCGGGTGTTGAAATGAAAATTTACCATTCCTTGAAGTTAACTTTCAAATTTTATGACTCCGCCAAAAATCTTCCCGCAGTGAATTATCACTCAATAAGCCGGTAATGGCTGACGAAAGACCGAGAAGAAGTCCGTTTTTTTTTTGGTTGTTAACATCCAAAAAGGTAGGTTTCTTCATGATCTAATTGTTGATTTGAGTTCAGCATGTACATTTGCACGGAAATAAGACTATTTTGGAAAAATTTGAAGGGACATTAGCGCTCGGGAAACAAAATAGAAATTTACCTTTGTTTTTAACTAAAAAGGTAAATTTGCTTGTAAATGAAAAATTAAATTTTATTTCTCTGTAAAATTAATAATGAAACATAAACGTGAATTTGAAATAATTTAAAATTTAATTATCTTGTTTTTCGATAAGTTACAGGTTTTCTATTTTATTTAAAATTTGAATAAAAAAAATTGACTTGTATTTTTGAGAAAAAAAAACATAGCCCATCAGAATATATTTAGGTAAGGAAAATTTATATATATATTATTTTTCCTACTACTCCAAACTTATATATATATATATATATATATATATATATATATATATATATATATATATATATACACACACACACACACCAAGAAGGAAAGAACTTAACATATCATCAAAGAATTTGGTAATAAATTTATTTTGGCAGATAAATTTTTAATATCTGCCTTGCCAGACTTGGATAATCCTTACCACTTATGGATTTGATATTATATATATATATATATATATATATATATATATATATATATATATATATATATGAATAAAGACAAAAGGAAAACTGGTCTTAGCCGATACATTTTGTCCTTTGAGAGACTTTATCAAGGCAAATTTGCAGGTCATTTGCCACGATAAGTTCCCACAGAGGATGAAACGTGTTGGCTAAGGTAAGTGTTCCTTTTGTCTTTTTACAGATATATTCTAGTTTAAATTTTACACACACACACACATATATATCTACTAATAAAAGCAATAATGTTGGTGTGACCAACAGATAACTTGTCAGTTGTCACTTTATAAGGTATAATCTTCTAGTATTGGGTTAGGCCACTTTTGCCTTTAGAATTGGCATGGATTTAACAATGTTCTGAAAGCATTCTTTTGAACTTTGAATTCATAGTCTTATTATGGCATCTTAAAATTCTTCTAAATTGTTTGGCTACACATACGAGATTTGAATCTCTCTTTCCATCATATCTCAGTGGTGCTCCATGGGATTGAAAACTGTAAAAAAATTTTATTACTAAGCAATTTAAAATAATTAAAAATAAATGATTAATAAAAAGTCTACATAATTATAAATAAATAAATATTATAATAGTCTCAGTTTAACTCTTACACTAACTTGGGAGAAATGTATTTAAAAGAAAACCAGATGGTTTATAAAAAAATTAAATTTTATGTGTTACATTTGTCTATAAAAGTTACTAAATTTAGAATTAGCTCTAAAAGAATTCCTAAAAACAATTCGCTCAAGCTGGACTGTTTCAGATTTCATTTTTCATTTTTTAAAAATATGTACTCTTTCTATTTATTGTCCAATCTTTAAATTTACATAGGTGGAAGCCATCCATGTAAATTTAAAGTTAAGATCTGTCTGAAAACTCTGTGGTGAGTATGAAATAATAATAACCCTCTTCAAATTTGGGCAAGCTGAGGAAAAAGATGGAAAGAAATTTGCGATCTTATGTGAAATTTTCTTTGGGCCAATGAAAACCTTGTTTTCACAGGAATTAGCCATTGAGACTAGAAAAAGAAAATAGTAAGCCCATGCAAAATCCTATTTGATATAAAATAAGGAAAAAATCAACAAGAGAATAGTGTCCGAAGTTTGAAAAGTTTCATTTCTGTTCATGCGTCCAGTGTTCAAATTTTCGCCAGTGTCAAATTACTTGCTAATTATATTATCAGATTAACCAAGTACTTTGTACACCAAAGAACTTTATTTCAACAACCCAAGAAAGCTAAGTATTTCAAACTATTTCTCTTTGTCTACTTTTGAATGCATGCAAACATATCCCTTCTATGAATAACAAACTCTCTTAACTTTGTTTTAAATATTTTTGAATATTATTTTGTGTCAGATCATTTAATCTGTTTTATGAACATTTCCTCCTTGTGACAATTCTTTGAAACTATGGACTTTAAGAATTTCCTATTTATTTTCCTGAAATGAGCTACCGGCATAACTTCAAGTATGTAAATTTGTAAATAAATTCCTTATCTTGTTTTGTTAAAATTACCTGTGTGTTTCCTTATTATTATCTGCCTCCATTGTCCTTCTTGATGTGAGTAAACCAACTGTTCATTTTAACCCCAAAGTCCCATGCCAATATACCTCTTCGGTTATATATATATATATATATATATATATATATATATATATATATATATATTGATGCATGTTTCATTAAATAATATAGACAAGTTGTGTCTATTTATTTTAAGTAAGTTCCTTTCATATTGTCTTGTGGAATCTCCCACAACACAACCAACCTTACCTCTTTGTAGGAAATGCACTCTCCTATCTGGTAAGCCAAATTCTACTTTCAGACAATATAACAAGTATTCATTGGTCAATCACCTCCAACCTGGCTTGCTGATTGGTCAGTTCCGACCAATCAAACCGCCTGCACGCGATTAAACCAATCTGTTCCCCCCTCATATGCTGGGAGCCACTCAGCGATTATAAAACCGAACACGTGTGAACTTTTTCGAGTAGTAGTTACCAAGTGCCAAGATGTAACCTTCACCGACTCCCGTCTTAGTCATTTCTGACCAGACGTTAAAGACAA